CCCCAAAACCCCAAAACCCCAAAACCCCTCGATCAAAGATTACAACAGAGATTAAATAATATTCACACTCAAATGGGAGAGACATACTCTCAACTTGCATGGAATGTAAAAGAAAAAGATTTGCAGAGAGTATGCAGTTCAACAACAGGTTGAGCAACTCCAGAAGGAGAGTATGAACTATATTTCACTGTATATAAAGCATTGTTTCATAATCTGAAGAATGGTAATGACATTACCCTTATCAGAAAGATGGTGAGTCAAATTAATCATTGATGAAACTAGTCAAGCTTGATCCCAGTTTCACAATCTTGAATGTATCCCGTTTCTTATTATCACAGCCACGAACAGATGTGTTAGGCTGTTGGACTCTTTCACAAAGCTACTGACTCGGATGAGAAGACTTAAGCTACAAAGTATCTGAATTGCATAACGAAAACTGTTCTATAGGCTTATCCTCATTTAGCTGAATCAAGGTGCTGAGAAATATTTCAGTCTAGCTGAAGAGGAAGCTATTCTAGAGATATGTGCATAAAACCTTGTCCAAGAGCTTTCTAGTAAACACTTAGTAGTGATTGGATGCTTTTTCAGAAATAGAAAACTCCACAGTTCCAAATCATCCCCCAGCTTTTAGAAAACGTTAGGTTTTATATCAGAAATTTGCTGAGACTCTTCTTGATGGAAATGGATTTGGTATGAATCGAGTATTTCACAATATGAGTAAGCCAAAGTGTGGCCAACTATTCAGCATCAAAGCTTTGGAAGGATCTTCGCGGCTTCAGAAAACACTTATATGTTGTGCTTGAAGCTCAGCTCAATCTATGTGAAAACTATGACTCTCATGGTAATTTAGTGTCTTCAAAGATTCATGTCATCTCTTAAGTATCTGAAATAACAATACTGCTCAGTCCTCCAACCCGAAGAGGACAAAGAGTGTCTAGATGGGTTGGCCTTGAGGATGGCTAAGTCCCGGTTAAACACTTGCTTGAAGGCAGTGAACATCCAGACTTGAGAAACACTGTAGAAATATTCTCCTTGTTTACAAGAATAATACAAAACTAGAAATGTCATTGTGAGTGCACTTTAAATAATTGGAGCCATAAACTATTCCAGCTAATTATAATCGAGTGATGGTGGTGTCAGCAGAGGAACATGAGAATTCAACTTTTGGTAGGGATTCAGTGTATTGAAATTTAGCATAAAGACTACCAAATTCTCTCTACCCTCACAATGAGATGGTTCAATGGATCCATAAAACTTTTATGCAACAATTTACACTTGTTGTATCTGTACAAATGCTCAATCCTCGTGCTACTCTGCTGATGCCACCATGGTGGAATTATAATCAATTGGCAATATGTTATTACTTCAATATTTGAGGTATCTCTCGGGGTTTTGGGGTTTTGGGGTTTTGGGG